AGGGATAACTATAATAATTTATTTTTAAGTTCAGTAGAAAGAGTGCCAGAGGGTAGGATTATAAGTGCTATTGGTGGTGTCTAGTTTTGTGGATTTTGTAAGCTCATTTTTAGTGATGAGTAATGGTGTGGGTAATTAAAAAGCATAAAGGCCACAAATTATGCTAATGTTGGTTTAAGAGTCAAATGCATATGAAACATGATTGACAAATGAAAATCAAACAACATAAAAGTAAAAATACCAAAATTTCTTTCTTCTCCATATTACAGTCTCTGATAAAACTTAAATAAAAGTAAAACATGTTAGATTGATAAATGTTTCCTATTTGTTGTTTATCTTACATACAGGTTGCGATGGGTAAATTGTTGCCATTTTATATTTTTAATTTTGCACATGTATGTTGTTTGTTTTTGATTTTGTCAACTGCACCATATATGAGAAGAGTACTATGACACAATTCACTCCACCAAAAATTTAGAAATGGCATGCTATACTTTTTGGCATTTGTGCCAGAAGCTCCAATGCAAACATTTCAGAGTGTTTGGGTGTCAATCTGAGGACAGTGCAGAGGATTCAGAAAGAGTTGGATGAGTTTAATGGTGATTACAAAGGTGTTTGGAATGATCACTAGTGATGGCAATGTTATGCCTCCATTCATCTTTCCTCAGGGCCTCAAAGTCAACCCAGAGGCCTAAATCGAGTGCCTTGAGGTAGTGCTGCTCTGGATCAAGAGGGTGGCTGCTGGAAGACCCTATGTCTGGAAACAGGACTCTGAACCATACCACACTAACAGGAGAACCCAGTCATGGCTGTCAGACAATTTCTGCAACCAGATCACCCCTTACATCTGGCCACCTGACTCCCCAAACTACAACCCCCTTGATTATCATGTATGGGGCACAGTTGAACAAGAGGCCAATAAAATTACTTTTAACACCAAAGATGAACTGAAGGCAAAGATTATAGCAGCATTCACCAACTTAAACACGGAGAGCATCCAGAAGAGTTGCAGGATATTCCAAAGTTGTCTGGGGTCCATGGTTGAAGCAAATGGTGATTTTATTGAATTAATTTACTTTTTAGTATTTCAAGATATTTTTCTGCAATTTTGGTAAATATATCTGTTAAAATGAGATGTCAGTTTTATTTTCATTTTTGTATAATTTTGTGTAGTTTATCCATTGCACCCTGTGTATGTATCTATGTCTGTGTATATATATATATATATACATACATACACACACATATACACACACTGTGTGTTAAGTTAATCCCATAATGATATATTGGCATGTGTGTATCTATGCATATGGCAACAAACAGGCATCTCCAGGCTACAATTACAATGTGGGGTATCTTAGAACTGCAGTGGTCTGAAGAGGTGTTCCATCAACCACATTATCACTACCACTTGGTTGATCAGTGATTAGGAGAGTAAAATCTGAGCACAAGTTTGTAGTTGGGCAGAATCTAAACAGATTAAGCCTCCAGCAGTTTCCTGCAGTTTCTGTCAGATGAAGTCACAGTGAAATATATCATGCCACTGGAAGAACCTTAGGTGAAATGAAGATGGCATGAATGAGAGACTATGCACCCACAACTCGACCTTAATCACTGCTTTTATGCAAGCACCCACTAGCTTCAGGAACTAACATTATTGTTGGACATGACAGCTGAAAATAAATATATATATATATATATATATATATATATATATATATGGCTGGCTACTTGTTTCCAAGCACACTGGTTTACTAGCTAATCCTCATTGCAGATGCTTGCATAGGCACATTTGTGCTTGTTCAATACTCACAGAGACTCCCTGCATTTTATACTGCAACTACACTGAGCAGACCTTAGTTACAGTTCCTGGGAGTGAGCACATAATCTGACATGATCACCAGTTTGAATAAGGATAGCATGCAAACTCTTGGTCACAATGACTTGCTGGCACAACCATTGATGACTTTCAAAGAATTATGTCTACCCAATTTCATTCACAAGGCTTGGATCAAACTGCAGTGTGGTTTTCAGACACTTTGCAATAATGACACACACTGGGATAATCTCCGCAGACTGATATGAAGAAGTCAGCTCTTTGGCTAAGTTGAGAGTCAAACCCAAATCTCAAGGTTGGAAAGCAGATATTCTAACTATACAGTATAATATATATATATATATATATATATATAGAGAGAGAGAGAGAGGTATACTGATGTCAACACCGAGTGGCAGCAGTCTGTTTCATGCTTGGATGCAATCTTCAGGCATTCAGTGTTGACCCCAGTGTCCACTTTTATATCTACATATGCTCTATTCATGACATTGAGTACCATAAATGTAGCATACCTGAAAACTATATTTGTGTGTGTGTGTGTGTGTGTGTGTGTATAGAGGAAAGGTGGAGATGTTTCATGGTTAGGAACCTTCTAGAGAAAGGAATTACCAAACTAAATTTGAATTCTGGTTTAAGTTTTATTGGAGGCATAACAAATATAAACAGAATTCTTTTTTTTTTCCAGATCTGACTTATTCATTTAATGACTAAAACAAATCAATTATGCTTTAAGTTTTGTTTGATTTTCCCTTTCACAGATTATAAAGATCTTGAGTTTTTTTTTAGTTTTTTTAAACATTTGATTTATTGGCTCTGTTATCATCCATTCTGGGATATTCAATCTGGCTGTATTAAAAATATGAACCCAATCTTCTTTTCTGAAAGACCCTTTGCATAACCAACAACCCTAGTGTGTGGTGTTGTTGGCGTTAATGGCGTTAATGTTGAAACTTTTGACAACCATCCTGTCACTGTTAAATGATTCTGTTAGTGTCTTTCTGCTTAATTCTTGCTGCAACTTCCCTTGGTGCTTATAATAACAAGTGGGTTAGATGGCATCTGCTTTAAAGTATGTTGTCACCTTATTGTTATGTACTCAGCAAAAGAAAATTTCTTTTAACTTAAAGAGCCATGGCATTTTTTTTATCTTTATTTAACTTGGTGTTATAAATAACAGACTGAAGAGCCATTATTAACAAGTAACAATGGCTTATTGAAGTAAGAAAATAAATTTGGAATAAAATTCTTTTCACTATTTCAAGGGTGAAGTAGTGGACTGATGAAATTGTAAGAACAAAATGGCTTTCTTGGTATTGTTATAAACATGCATATGGTATTACAGAAGAACAAATAAAACAACAGTGCCACTGTTGAGGCAAAAGGAAAAGACAAGAATTGTAAATATATAATTCTGTTGTTTTACCAATACAGTTGACATAAGCGAAATGTCTCTAATGTATGCAAGGGAGGTGGCTTTTGAAGGGAGGGTAGAGTTGTTAAAACCTGGAGTTGGTGCGTTTGTTGAATTGGTTGACCAAGATCATAGTGGTAATATCAAGAGAGGCCTGGAGTCAATTAGTGAAGTTGCTGTTTGCTGTAAATCTGTGTCTGGTAATGAACAGCTTCTTAAAATCACATGTCTTGGTTTCTGAGTTCATCTTTTATTCATGGTCCAATAATTCTTGCTATTTTCTTTTGTTTCTTTCTTTCAGATATAAGCAATTTTCCTCAAAACAATAACTCAGTGCCATGAAAAAAAACTAGTCTTCATGCAATTGTCCTAGATTTTTATCTCCCCAAACCCTTTCCAGCTCAGATGATAGCAAATTGACCTCATAGTCTGTAAATGTTGACAGGTACTGATATGAATAAAATGTACTAAAATATCCTTAATTTGAAATTGTGGTAAGTAATCACTTCTCTTGATGTAAATTTCTTAACCAAATGATTCTACAGATTTGAGTTCAAATCAGCTCTTGCTTTCACTCTGTCCTGTGAGCATCAGATTTTTCAAGCCTTATTTCCTCATAATGTGCCCTAGAAATTTTAACTATATCTTCCTGATGTTAAGTATAAATGTCCTTTTATTTCCATTGCCATCGTTGCTCACATATTCAGTTTCAGTCCTTGATATTCTCAGTATCTATAGAACCACATTTCTGTTGCTTCAAGTCTCTTCTTCATCTGTGATGAGATTGTACAACATTCACTGCCATAAAAGAGGATTGATATTGCATAACAGCTTAGTAGTCTTTACTTTGTTTCTAACGAAATGTTTCTGTTTTTAATACATAAAAATTCTCAATAAAAAAGTATTTTCATAGTTATGTTTTTTAAGTGTTTCCCCAGAGGATGGAAAATGTGACCCCAAAATGCAAACACACATCAAATTAGCAAAAAATGCATTCCAAAAACCAAAGAGTTCTAAGAAACAGGAAAATTTTATTAGAAACAAAGAAAAAAAAGTACTGAACTGCTATACAAAATCAACCCTGTTGCATGACAGTGAATGCTGGACAATATCCTCACAGATGAACACGAAACTGGAGGATAACATAAATGTGGCCCTATAGAAGGATACTGAGAATTACATGAATGGCACAAATAAGCAACAAGGAAGTCTTAAAGAAAATAACAAAAAGAATACTTATGCTCAAAATGAAAAAGAAACAGCTTAAATTTCATGGACACAATGACAAAGGAATGTTTGGAAGGCTTAACTCTCACAGGACAAAAATGATAAAGGATGGTAAAGAGGCACTTATCTGACAAGCATGTATGAATGAATGGAGGAATAGCTACTCATGGTCACAAGGGACAGGATTTTGTGGAAATCACCCACATTCTGAAGGAAGAAGAAGAAATATAAATATTGCATTGTAATTGGTATAACTCCAGTTTCATATGTTCAGGTTTTATTAAAATTGTAAAAAAATTACTGAGGGAGGCTACAACAATAGTGGTGTCAAAAGGAACACCATTCTTTTAAAATCTCATTTTTTGGCTGAAATTTATTAAAGGTAGAAAGCAGAATTCAGTGTGTGGAGTGGGATTTGTGTTTCCATTCTGACATAGCTCTCTGCCCATGGCTTTATTCATGACATTATGAAATTGTTTTTTTTTTTTTTTTTTTTCAATTAATAATGTTAATATTTTTTTACAGATGGATTTACTTCCTTCCATATTGCTCTCCCTTTACAAAAAGATGCCACTGGCCATTTGTCTCCGTGAGTTCAGTCATACTTTCACTTAAGACTGTCTAATTTAATTCTTGTCATCATAGCAATTTTTGCAGCTTCTCTTAAAAAATAATTTTGTCTTGGTTTGTAAGATTTAAGAAAAAAAATCTTCATCTGTTGCTATTTTTTCTACTTCATTTAGTTATGCCTCATTAAAGATTTGTATGTTTACATTTCTATTTTTAGTCATTTCATTCCATTCAAGGCAATAAAACTTCTAAGATACAAGGGTTTAACTGAGTGTGAAACAATGAGAAACATTAAAGAGTGCAAACAATAGAGTAATCAAGAACATTAGGTCCTTCTGTAAAGAGGAACTGGTCACTGGCATGAGGGTGACCTCATCTACACTTCAAGGATGGCTGCAAAAAGGACATGGACATCAAGAAGTGGGAAGACGTCGGCAACAATCACTCACACTAGAGACGCAATTTACACTGAGGGCTAGTGCAAAGAGAAGAGAAACAAAGGCTTGCCAGTAAGATAAAAACAAGGCAAAATCAGGGGATAGCATCTTCACATGCATTCGTTGCTATCAAGATATGGGGGCCTGTACAGCCATAACAGATGATGCACTTCCATCAACAGCTGAGGCATAAATCTTTGTTTGCAGATCCAAGGTTTTCTCAAGACTAATGGATGCTGCACACACACACTCACATGAGATAACAATTGACACTGCATTTAATTTTTTGAAGATCAAAGTTAGCTGGAAAGCATGGAGCTGGAAGAGTTCCATGAGTAAGAAGTGCAAGAAAAGAAACTGTCAGCATAGAACTTAGTGTTACATCTAGTCAATTCAATTGAATTGTTAAGGCCTTGCCGCCAATCTGTGCTTAAGTTCATAAAGTCAAAGTACCATAGCAACATAGCAAAGACTTCATTCAAATAATTCTCGTGAAAGTACTTAGAGTAAAAACACCTTTTTTCCTTAATAGAAGTAGATATGTTCATCTATCATCTGGTTTCCACTACTCGCTGTTGTTTTTTTTAACAGAACTAGAGGTTTATCGCTTGTTTCCTGTTTAAAATTGGGTTTTCAGTTCCTTCTCAGATCTTGTAAATCTTCTACCATTCAAACAATTCTCATGAAAGTATTTAGAGTAAAAGCACAAAGTAGTTATATTACAGTGGTGAGAAAGTAACTGCAGCCAAGACACCAGGTTAGGATCAATAATATTGCTGAAAATTCTTCTTTCTATATAACACAAACAGAAAGATTAAATTTCATGGTCAATTTCATTATCAAATGTTGTTCCTCTATTTTCTTACCATGAATCTTATCAACAAATCAATTGTTTAACTTCCCAATAGGACATCATTTTTTTCTTTCCTTGTTTTGATTTTAATTCATTTTATAATCTTTTTGCTTGTTTTTAGATTTCATTCAAAAAGACTGAAGACAAATTCTAATGAAGATCTTATTCTTCATTTGCCATTTGAAAAAGAAACCATGATTCTTCAATTGCAAACTGGTTTCTCTGTTCTTCATTCGACCACATCAGTCAGTTTAGCCAATGGTGACAAAGAGGAAATGATCTCCAAAGGACCTTTCCCCAACTGTTATATCTCTGGTCATGTCGTCTCACATGATGGAATAGCGTCCTTTTCACACTGTGGTGATGGATTGGTAAATATCTGCTTTAAAGAAGTGTGTGTGTGTGTGTGTGTGTATATATATATATATATATATATATATATATATATTTATTGCTATTAAAACATATATTCAATAAAATGTGAGAAAAATGTGCAGAAAGGAAGAAAACATTGTTGCGATAAATAGAAATGTGAAAATGAAAAATGATGAAAGAAAAAAAAAAAGAGTTAAAGAAAAAAACTAATCAGTTTCTGTTTCAATCTTTCAATTTAATTGAGGGAATAAAAGATTGACTAAAAGAAAGAAAAACATTTCCAATCTGATCAGAAATATACATATATTGATAATATATTAATATATGTTCATTATCAGACATTAAGACCTAACAGCCATTTTTCCTATTATGGTGTGGAATAATGTATTATTCCATCTACAACATTTTACGCGTGCGCGAGTTTCCTCCCTTTCTTCCACACTCGCGTGTGCGCGTGCATTTGACACCCCTTTCTGCCTCTTTCAGTCTAATACAGTAGTAACTGGTTTTGGTCGGCAGTCAAACGACCTGCTATTCCTGTTTATGCAAATTAGATTTTTGAAATCTTCCCGCGAAATTTCTGTGACGTCACGGACAAACTGTTGTTTCAAAAAGTTAGTTGTGATCCAGACTCGGACCTGAGCAGACTCATTTTAGCCATGTCAATATGCAAGGTTGACAGACGAGGGATATCTAACAATGCAAACACCAAATATTAATTCTTCGTTCCCTTTTGGCTCGTCATTAAAAATCCTTCTCCGAGACGATGCAAAACACCAAATAATTAATTCTTCGTCCCTTTTTGGCTCGTCGTTCAAAATCCTTCTTCGAGACGATGCAAACTCCAATATTAATTCTTCGTCCCTTTTTGCCTCGTCATAAATCTGCTTTGAACCTGTACCAAAAAAAAAAATATATATACATAAACTTTTCACTCACATTAACAAAAAAATCGCGGTGAGTATTTTTCCTTGTATGTATATTATCATGTACATTGACTTATCTGGAACCTTCTTCTTCTTCAAGAACTTTCCCGCCTTAGCCATCTTGTTTTCTATTTTGGCACGGAACATTTTCATTGATCCCTACTACGGGATAAGTTACTTGTTTTTCCTGCATTTAATAAAAACTACTCTTGTTTGAATCCAGTCTTTTTCTGTCATTCTGTGCCGGCTATCTTAATATATTTTAATTTATGCACGTGTGGATTAACCACATTTCTTCGTTGTTCATTCACGCACATTTTTATCTTTTTATTTATTGCTTGTAGACTCAGTAGTATAGTGTGGTGTCTGGCACAAGGCCACTTTGTAATAAACCAGCACTGCACCCTACCGGGCCTGCAACAATGGTCTTTTAATATTTAAAATATGTTTATATATTGATATATTATTAATATATGTATATTTCTTATTGTCAATGTAGAAATGTTTCCTACCTTTTAGTCATGGCACACAGCTGTTTTATTTCCTCAACTGAACTCTGAACTTTTATAAATGAATTTACCTTCATGATTCCTCTTTTTAGTGGTAAAAAAACTTTGAAGGTTTTTTTCTCAGTATCTTCCAATCATTCATGATGTATACATTTTCTCTCATTCTAAATAGATAATTTTTAAAATAAAGTATTCAATATGACTAATAATTCAGTTGGACAAAGAACAAAGCAAAAATGAATGATTTTTGATAATTTTACAGAGTCACTATTATAATTAACCACCTTGTAGATAATTCAATCTTATCATTGGGTCAAAATAATTAATTTAGCAATCAATAAAATTAATTTTGTTTTGTTTTGCATAATTAAGGAAGGAGCATTGACAGCCAACAAATCTGAATTTGTTATTAATGTCCTGCCTTTAAATCTGGCTGATAGACACAAACGCTCAGTTGAGGATCAACCTTATCTTCTGGCTAAGAGATCAACCAATTACAATCTCCATTATACTAATCTCAGTAAGTATTTTTGAATATATTTTCTTGTTGGTATTGTAGACTTTTGCAAGCATAGTTATGTTCTATCTCTAGAAACTCTGAACACAAATTTATTTACAAAAATTATACAACCTGATCATATGTAGTTTCACAGCTGTCCACCAGATGGCAGTAATGCTTGACATCATATTTACTATCACAGGCAGGAAGAGTTTTCTTTCATTTTAAGGAAATAAATGTCTTTATATTTATTTTCTAAATTGGTACCTTAAATGATAACACAAACATTTTAGGCTTAATGGTAAAAAAAAAATCTATGTTATTTTTGTGCCAATTGGTGCTTTATTAGAAAATTTCTTAAAAATACAAAAAATATTTCTTGTTAGTAATCTATGTAGAGTTGAAAATTTTAGTAAGGCTTTAAAAATGAGGCATTTTAAAAATATATAAATATATATACGTAAATATATTAAAACAAATGGGTAGGAAAGCAATAATAAGTAAAAAAAAAAAAACATTAGTCACCATAAAGTGATGGATTGAAAAATATTAAAAAAAACAATGAAAAAAAGGTTATCGCTCTTCACTCTTTAGAGCTCAATTGAAGACAAGACATATAAATATTTGCACAATTAAAAAAGGGGAAAATCAAAAATACTATTAATATATACATGATAGGATAAGGAACATATAGGAAACATTTATAAATTTAACATGTTTCACTTTTATTAAAGCTTCATCAGAGAATGAAATATGGAGGAGAAAAAGAAAATTCTTCTACTTTTAATTTTTTGTTATTTTTCATTGGTTAATCAGGCCTCACGTGCATCTGTATTGTCAATTTCAATCCATATTTGATCTATATTTGATACCAGTTCATATATACAAGCCAAGGTACCCGGCATTGCCCAGTTGTACATGGCTGCAATTGCATAGCTGCACCCCTCTGTCTAGAAATGTCTACCTGCATCCTTGCTTGTATGCATCATCCATGGGTATACTAAGCTACTCCCTCCACCTTATCTTCTTTTTGGTATGACCTTCGCAAGTGTTTGATTGTTCTTAATAAAGGAATTCCATCAATAAAAACTTCTTGTGTGGTCGTTACTCGGGATTGAATTGTTCCAATGTTTTAGATATTCAGTAAATTTCCTATGGCGGTAATAACTTTCAAATAGTATGGCATTGTTCCCAAATCTAATAATGAAACAAAAACAGGGATTAAGTGTCAGAGCTTGATTCAACTAAAAATGCAAACACATGAATACCCCTCCTTCTTTGCATGTTTACTGTAAAACTGGGGTTAATAAGAAGTTCTTCATGGATTTTTCCCTTTTAACACTTCAGTAATCCTTCTCAAACAATCTAAATAAAGGTTGTTTGAATGCCAATTTAGGATGGAATCATATGAAGAAACTATTGGCTAAATGGAAAAAGCCAATTTTGGACCTAGTTTGTTGCAGATTTCATTCACTTAACTGAAATAATCTAAACCAAACATTCATGCAAGGCAATTTGTGTGCCATATGTAATTTACATGGCAAATTTGGAAAGCATTGGATGAAAAACCAAGGAGTTATGGCCAAAAAACGGGCTTTTTGAACAGTTTTTTGTGGGTTTTCACTATATGCATGGAAGCGGGCAGGACTAAAACCACACTGTCTTATTTCTTGCATGATGACAAATTCTTTTTATGTTTGAAGAAAATCAGACAAAAAATGAGGAAGTTATTCAAGTTTTTATTTTAAGTAGTATGAAAGACCCAACTTTTTCACACTTTTTTGCAATTTTTTTGTGTGAAGCCAATATCGCAGGAAAACTATCAAGCACTCTACATAAACCTCATAACATGAGCTAAATTTTGCATTAAGTGCAAAGAACATTAACTCATCCAGTAAAAATTTTGTTCACATGTTAACTTTGCCTTGGTTTTTGCAAAAAGTCATACCCACTTTCAGTTTTATTGATTTTTCTGCCAAACCCAGGGGAGCCTGGACGTTGAAAAGTTGGTCTTGACCTATGTTAATAAATTTGCAACATGTGTGTATGATTTCATCAAAATCGGTCAAGAAATGTGGACATGTATAAATAGCATATATACACATACAAACACACTTTTATATATATATATAGAGAGAGATAATATTAGTGGTAAATATACACATACATATGTAAAATATATAAATATATATATACATAGATGCATACACATACATGTATATTTTTTGAATAAAAAATTCCAAGAGGATAGAATCCAGGTAGAACTCAATGTCCAGGACAGTGTAAGGATATAATAAAAAGGCTTAAACACTAATATTCCATGGTCATAATTTATTCCATTGGAATCGTAAATACGATCCCATTCATTAGACCTACAAATTCAAAAAGCAAAAAAAGTAGGTCTGATGAATTGGATCGTATTTACGAATCCAATGGAATAAATTATGACCATGGAATATTAGTGTTTAAGCCTTTTTATTATATATATGTGTATATATATATATATATATATATATATATATATGGTGGTACTTGTTTGGAAAAACCTCGAATAGATCAACAAATCAGAACCTGGAGAAAAATAGGAAATAAAAAAAGAAAGAACCAAGAACATTAAAACAAAGTGAAAACAATCATCAAGTGTTTAAGCTCCAAGTCCAAAGACCCCCACCCCCCAATAAAACAAGTAAAAAGACAACTATGTAAAGTGTTCAATACACTAAGTAGAGCAAACCTAAGATAAGATAATCTTAAAAAGCCAGGCAAACCTACCTAGGTTTCAACTAAACAGATCTTCAGGGTACTGCCTGCTGAAAAGGAAAATTATGGAACAGTATTTATTGCTAAAACGAAAAATAACCATGACCATGTTAAAAAAAAAAATGTATTTTTTTTTTTTTTTGGTTGTTCAATAAAATACATACCCCCCACACCATTGTTTGTCTTTATTATTATTATTTTTTTTGTCACGTGGTCATGGTTATTTTTGGTTTTAGCAATAAATACTGTTCCATAATTTTCCTTTTCAGCAGGCAGTACCCTGAAGATCTGTTTAGGTGAAA